GCAGATGAGATTTCCCAGCAATGATCTGCTAATGTAACCTTCACAGGATGCAACTCATGGGCACATTACATCATTTATGCCAAAGTGGGCCAGGAAGTGAAAAAATAATCAAATTGTAAGTAAAATTTTAACAAAATTCGTTTAGCTAATGAATGTAAGCTGATTTCATATCCGCATGCAGAGCTGTATGGTGATATGATTTTTAGTCAAAGGGGGTAAAGGTCCACTTTAACGATCCGCTAAAACTGGCCCTTAAAATCCCCAACTGACTGACTGATGACATTTAGTTTGGTGAAGCACTGTGTGTCCAAATTTTTGCCATGTTTTGGGTTTTTATTTAATAAAATCCTGTTTTCACCTTTTTTTCATTCTTTGTTTTGCATCTCCCCACTGTGCATCCCTGTCAGCCACTTCCAGCATATACAGTATGTCCTACTCCAGCAGCAGCTGCACATAATTGCTTTGGACTGGCTTCCTGATAGACTATAGCAGACCATGCCTGGGCACTGTGTGTACCAGCTGCTTCACATAGTATCCAGTAAAGTTTAATGCATAGGGGTTACAATACAGGAGCAAAATTAGGAGATAGTTGTCACCCCATTAGAGAGAGTGCATGGCAGGCTCACTAGGTATTGTTTTATTGAAGGCTGCAGATTTAAAATTCTGGTTGCAGTACTTTCTGAGTCAATGACTTGAAACAAGTTTGCATATCAGGAAAGTCTGAGTAAAGTCAGAAGTCATTATCTGCATACATGTTATGGGTTAGTGATTCAAAGTATTGAATCTAAAGGGTTAGCACAACAGCCTAGCAACTAGCATTTTCAGAAGACGTTAGCAATGGCAGCCTCTATGTTATTGCCAGGAAAAGTTTCCTTTAAATGTTTCCATGTGCAGAAGTATCTCCACTCACTCCAACAAAAAGGCCTTTACCTTCTTGTGTGGAAGTAGTAGAGGAGATGGAAATGGAGACTTTCCATGGAGAGATTGTGCAGTTCCCAGCAGCCACACATCAATGATCACTGTGGAATGTGGAAAGGTAAGTGTAAGACCGGGGTAAAGTGTGGCAACTTTTAAAGGATGGAAAGGAAGATAATGACCAGTACTGCAACAATGTTCTTTTCCCCTTTTTATTGTATGTAAAGTATCACATATGGTTATTTTAGTTGATGTTTCTATGCCTCACACGGTGCCTTCCTCAAGAGAACATAGTGACCACTTTTAAAGGATAACTACACTAAGGAGTATATTTATAAACTATTTGCAGAGCTATTCAATAAATGCTTCTTATCATATTTTCTTTCCAGCACATTATGGCCATTAGATGGAGCTGAGGGGCATAGGAAAACAATGTTTATTTCATATGCTCCATCTAGTGTCCATGATGCAGAATTTACATAATATTATATTCTACCTGGAAAGAAAATATATTATTGACATTGCTTCTACCGCTCCATTTGCACTGAATAAATATATTTTGTATGGCAAATGGCTCTCTAAATTGTTTATAAATAAACCCCTAAAAGTACAGCTATTATTTAAGTCCTGACAGCAATCCTGATTTATTGCATACTCACATTGTCCTTTGACATCAGTGGCATTTAAATCACTCAGCACCAACATTCTGGCACTAGAGGCAACGATCCAAAATACAGCATCTTCCATACAAATAAAGCTCACTAATCAACGTCTGTAAACCCAAGTAACTATTCATTATCTTTAAAGAAACAAGATTAATATAATAGAATGGTAGGCTATGTTGTTTTCTCTTTATTGAACATCCACTGTATCTTGCTAATTAGTGCTGTGCTACAAAGCAGCAGTTTAGGTGCAAGATGCAACAGCATCAATGTCAATCTCTGGCTCCATTTTTTCCTTTTGTTTGAACAGATGCAGGTGCACATTTCTCACTCATCCACTCTCTGCACTCTTTACTGGTCATCTATTTCAGCAGGGATCTCTCTTTGTAACCATATTTTTTAAGCTGTTTTATACTGCAAACTATAAAAGGAGTTAAAGACATCATTTGAAGCCAAATAGTTAAGTTCAGCTCTGTTATAGCTACTAATATTTCATGTTGTAGGCCCATAAATATTTGATAAAATATACATTTGTTAGGGTTTTCACTGATGCAGAACTGCCTGGAAAGCCTGTGCTACAAGTATGATTGCCGTTTGTAAAATAGAGAAGGAATCTCTATATATTAGAGAGCCAATCCAGTAAAAACTTTTAATGTGCAGCCATGACTTTCCTCTGTTTTACTTTAAGATTTGAGAGTCCATTTTCCATCCTGTGTACTAATGTTTATTTCAAATTTGTCTCATTTAAACTCTATTTAAACTTAGGTTTAGCATAATAACAGACAGTTCTCTACCTCCTCCCTCCAATGCAGTTCCATGGAATATTGGTACTAAGGCTTTTCCAGTCCTTGTTGTAAACAGTGAAATAAGTGATTGCACATAGCTCCGGGTTTCAATAAAAATCTTCTTAATGAAATCAAGGCATCAAATCAGACATAAGAATGCTGCAGGGTTTTCTACGCATTGATTGCACAAAGAAGATTTTTTTACTGTTTAAACTTAGGTTTACCTTTGTGAGCCGACCCACAAAACACCTCTCATGCAATATGATACAAGGGCCTGAAAACCATGGAAAAGACGATTATCAGTTATGCTTCCTCCTTTTATTTTGTAAAAGTATGTGAACTTTTATTTTGTAAAAGTATTTTCCTGTGAACAGTAGGATCAAGTAGAGTAATAAAAAGAGTATAAACAACAGAAATAATATGACTATTGCTTTGCAAATACAATAAATTGTTCATGCACAACTACTCCACAAAATCAATACAGTTGAGCCTAATATAAGACTGTTGGCTGGTCAAAAAGGTGAAATATTGATAATTTTTTAATTATCAATTTTTATCAATCAATTATCAATTCAGTAATTTCTTTACCGTTCAGTAGTTATTGCTGGTACACCCACTGTTAGCCTGATCTAAAATTTAAAGTGGTGTGCAGTGGATGATTTAAATTTGCTTTTACAATGATTGCACAAAGTAACACAAAGACTAGTTACTTAATAGCTTTTGTAACACTTGCTTACTGAGCTGTGGTCAGGAATTCAGTGAAACCTGGCTTGGAAGTAATTGTTGATATGGGAAGGTGTATTTATAGATATATATATATCTATATATATATATATATACATATACATACACAAACACACACACACTGTATACATACTGTATATGCAGTACAGTATATATATTGCAGAAGGCTGATATATACAATATTGGAAATGTGTTACTAGACACCATTAATCTTTTGCCATGTTTTTTTTTGACTGAAGTTGATAGGCTACTGCCTTGATGGGTTGTAGGCATTACATTTACATCTGGCCACCCATAAAGATTACATGGGTCAATTTTTTCTTTATCCCCTCCATCCTGTTTCTATCATCATACATCAATTGTTTTGGGATATGATTAATATGTTTAAGTACAAAACAGGCTATATACATCACAGAATAGCCAGCTGTGATTGAAGAGAAGGAGGAAAGAGAAAGGAGCAGATATTATCAATAGCAATCAGACAAGGTTCTCTAATCTGTTCAGTTGCTTCTTATGTGTAGAAGAGATATGCATTAGATTACTGAGTGATTTAGCAGAGAATATGTGGATTGGGAGTCTGCTTCCAATGTTAGCATTAGGGTCATCACTCTTGCCTTGCATGTCTGGACCTTGTCTCATATCATATCTACCTGCAAATAATGAGTATGGCCTTGAGATGTGTGTGTGTGGCTTTCTCTGCACAATCAAGAAAATGACCTAGAAAGCATACTGTGAAGGTAATATTTGTAGTCAGAGCCCCACTGATACATACCTGCATATGAAGATGATGAACCTACCTAAATTGTCCTGAGATGTGCCATGGTCACAATGGTCAGTATGCAAAAGGGGCATACCCAAGAGTAAAATGTTATAGAAGGGATAAGGGTGGTTGGGCTGACACGAATGTCCCGACAGGTGAGTAGGGGAAACGGGGGGGGTGTTAAATGTGTGGGGCTCCTCCCACAAATCTGGCCAATAAATTAGCCTCAAACGTAGCCTTACAAAATTAACCCATGAGTTTTTGAAACATTAGATTGTAAGGTTTAAGGGGCATGGATAGATATACTGTAAATCCCTAAACAGTGGCAATAGACAAATCATGTTTATGGGCAGTCTTACAGAGGTCAATAAAAAAATTACAGTTTCTTCACCCATGGGACTGGGCAGTGTTGATGACTAGGGACATTCACATATACTTTAAGAAAAGCATTTCATCACCAGTACCTAAGATGTTCTTTGTTGTAAGTATGGTTGGACCTTTGAATTCTATATCAAAGTTAACAGTAAAAGTGCATTTAATTCTGTAATTGATGCATTTCTTACTATGAAATGTAATTAGTAAGAGTAATCAGTGAAGTGATTGATCTAGGGAATTAATCTGACTTCTACTGGCAGGGTCAAGAATTATTTTTTCTCTCAGTGGGAGATTAAAATGGCAGCTGTCTTACTGAGCTTTTGTTTTGTCTTCTTGCAGGCCATCTTTATTAGAAAAATATTAAAACTGAAAAATATGAATCTATTTTATTATTAATCTGTTAGTTTATTCCACCCTAACTAACAGTCACTATGTTACCATGTCTCACACAGGTCTTTGTATACAAGAGGAGCACTTTATCAGTTAGCACTGACGCATACGGAACTAAGAGTAGACAGTCAATGGAAGACAACTTGAAGATTGTTGGTAACATAGTCCTGAGCATTTCAGTGGCTTCCATTGTTCTCTGGCAGAAACATCTCAGCAACTGCTGACAGCAGAAAAGCTACAGGAAAGAAGGAAGACGGGAGAGGGTCCTAGGAACCAAAGAGCCAAGGTAGACCAAAGAAGAAGACTTCGGGCTTCTTCTGCTCAAACCTATTATTTTTTTTGTGAGTTAGGCCCTCTCAACCTGTCACCCTGGAGTCGTGGAAGAGGTGGAATGAAGGCAGAATGGTGTGGTGTGAGAAAGGGGTCCAGGTTCTTATGACCACGGTGGGAGCATTTGCTGCATTTGGGCTCATGACAATCGCAATAGGAACAGATTACTGGCTATATGCCAGGGGCTTCATCTGCAATACCACTAACATATCAAGTGAGGACCCACTGCAGAAAGATAAGAAAGACCCTGGAGGGCTAACCCATTCTGGTCTATGGAGAATTTGTTGTTTGGAAGGTAAATACATGTTTTTTTTACTATTTGTGTTCACTATTTGCTATTTGTTTGTTTGTCTTCAGTCAATTCAAATATAAAATTTGTTTAAATTACATAATGTTTTCAATTATTGTTCTTTGTATGTATTCTTGGCTTGTATGGTCCCATGGGATTTGTGATTAGTGATGGGCCGAACACCTCCCTGTTCAGTTCGAATTAGAACTTTAGAACATGGAAAAAGTTTGAATTTGATCTCGAACTCAATGCAAGTCTATGGGGCTTCAACTCTGCATATAAGGCTTCAACTCTGCATATAAGGCATATAAGGCTTCAAAATGGGGACATTTGATTTTCAATCTATTGGCCATAACAAGGGTATGGGGATTCGGGTACTGCCCTGGGGGACATGTATCAATGAAAGAAAAACTTTTAAAAAAATACAGTTTTTAAAGGAGCAGTGATTTTAACATCACTTAAAGTGAAACAATAATAATGAATAATTATTTTGTGCCTGGGGGGCCCCCTTAAACTGCCTGTAAAGTGGCACATCTGTAAAATGTATAGAACCTGCTGCAGCAAAAATGACATTTGTAAAAAACAAAATGACATTTAAAAAGGAAAAAAAAGGCATGCGGTTCCCCCTCCCAAAAAATACCAGACCCTTTAGGTCTGGTAGGAATGTTAGGAGGGACCCTATTTAAAAAAAAAAAAAAAAAAGTGTGTGGGTTCCCCCTCAAAGTCATACCAGGTCCTTAAGATCTGGTAGGAATTTTAAAGAGGAACCCCATCCCCAGAAAAGGGGGAAAAAATTCCATACCAGACCCTTGATCTGAGCACAGGCCTGGCAGGGCAGGAAAGGGGGGAAAGAGCGAGCAGCCTCCCCTCTCTGCCATACCAGGCCACATGCCCTTGGCACTGGGAGCGTGATTTTCCAGGGTCGCCGATGGGCACAAGGACATCTTCCCCACAAGCCCTGGTGCATTGGTTGTGGGGGTTCGGGCGGGGGGCTCATTCACATCAGGGAACCCGTTTAATAAAGGGGCAACCAAATGCGCCCCCCCCCCATGTGAAGGAGTAAGGGGCACTTGTACCCCTATGCATTCACTAAAGGGTTAAAATAAATTGTCAATTAAAAGACCAGACTTTTGAATAAATCCTTTATTTGAAAAAAAAGAAGACAAGTTTTTGGCAAATCTTTTATTGTAAAAAAAAATTATCCACCGACGTAATCCAGGGTCAATCATGATGTCCAGCGTTGTCCACGACGACAACTCGACAAAATCAAAAATAAAACAATAAACAATAAATAGAAATAATAAATAGAAATAATAAATAGAAATAATAAAAAGAAAAACCAACGCCCACCGTCCCGCCTGCCCGCGAAGAACTCCGCCGCAGAATGGCATTTTGACAGATGCCAGCAACATATAAAGAATCGGGCAGAGCTGGTGGTGACAGCTAGCTCTGCCTAACTGTTTACAGTTGTACGGCATCTGACAGGTGAGCCATGATTGGGCAAACTCATCATGACTTTGCCCAATCATGGCTCTTACAGAGTACTGGGCCCTGATTGGGCAAAGTCTTGCACCTGACCTGTGGTCAGGTGCAAGGCTTTAGCCCCATGGGGCTCACAAGGCACTGCACGGAGCACAGTGCCTTGTGGGGCGCTCGGCGGGCGAATAGCTTGCCGAACGCCCTGACAGTTTGTGTGTTCGCCAAACACACACACTGCCGATGTTCGAGTCGAACTCATGCTCGGCTCGAACATCGAGCACATCCCTATTTGTAATGATTGGTAGTAGCCTTCTATCTGCATTCAGCAAAACAGACAAGGTCCTGTGCACACAGTGGCGCTGGTGCTTAGTGAAACCTATAGGCAACAAGTGGGGCAACTGCTCTGGCTGCATTTAGCACAGTCAATGCAGAAAAGGTTTGCGTTCCACTGTAAACGCAAAAAAATAAAGCAAGCCCTATTTTTTGTGTTTGCAGTGGAACGGAAAGCTGGCAAAGTCTTGCCACACGTCTGATCGCACTGCGGGCGGTCCCCTCCCGCCCCAGAACGCAGGGGAGAAGTTTCTTAGCGATCACGGTGCATTCCAGCAGCTACCGCTCTCGAGCGCACGCGATTTCGGCGTGAACAAGGCCTCATCTGCTGGGCTGTTCCTTTAGCTAATCCACAGTGCTCTCAGAATCCACTTTTATGTGGTAAATGCTTACTTGTAAACAAACATTGTATAGATACAGCAAAAAACAGCTTTAAAGCAGCTTAAAAACATATAATATAAATTCAAAAATAAAATTAAGAGAAAACTATGACAGATTTATTTAAACACTCTTAGTCCTAAACAGATAAAGCTGGACTCTAAGCCATGAAAACAATGCAATTTCAGTACTTTAATAAATGTATTTTTTAATGCAAGCAGATTACCTGAACGTGATCTGGTATTAGTCTCTTGCATTCCCTGTACAGCAGGGCAAATTGAGAAAGGAAGGAACAGCACAATGAGAAGTTCATGTGCTGAAAAGGAGCATTCTGATAAAGAGGATTGAGGAGCGAGGGAGAGAAGAACTCGTCATCATGATGTTTTTCCTTCACTGTCCAGTAACAGGTTTGGGGGTGGGTACATGACATCCTGGGCTCAAAGAAAATTATGGCTATCAATGATGGTTAATGATGATGACTATCATTTGACCTAAAGGACTGAGAACATCTTGTAGCAGAAAAGTATTGTTGGGGCAACCCTGGATTTAGGGTACTTATTGCAGAAATATTTAATGGCCTATTTCTTTTTTACCCGGAGTTCTGCTTTGTTAAAGAAAGAAAATATAATTAAAAAATATACATTCTCTATAATTCTGTCAAAATGTTGTTTGAAAGTATACGAGCAGAAACCCTTTATATAGAAATCTAATGCATTAAAATATAATTATACTTCAAGGGTATAATCCCCACCCACAGGGGATTTCTGTTGAACCAGGACCCCTCTGTTTAATTTTTGCTTTAATTTAATGAATGCCAAGGTGTAGGACACATGTGCTAGTGGTACAGTTCCTTATAATTTCATGGAAAGACAGAATTATTTCAGAAATAATTCCAGTTTTCTTAGACATAATACACTGAACTGTGTTATATAAAGGAGTCTGGTCTAAAAAAACACTAGAGCTTTACTTTCTCCTGAATCATGAGAGTATGCACCTTATATAGATCTTTAAAATAGGAAACAAAACATTTGATCTTTCAAGCTTCCTTTTTTATTTCACAGTTTTTGCTGACAGATCTTGATTTGCTACTTTAACGACTAGATATTTCACAACTCTCTATCTGCAAATAGCAAAATTGTAACACTAAACACTAGAATTACCAAAACTCTGTGGTAGTCTCTTGAATTCCAATACAATCATTCATGCTATGATAATGAGCAGAATAATGAGCAGTGCAGTCTATACTGTGCAGACTTTACATAAATTTAAATTATGGGCATAACATAATATAACAAAACCAATGAATAATATTATACAACTTGTGTAACGCTGTGATTTCACATTCAACTCATATTATGCCCAAAGTACCTAGTAAGACATGCCTTAAATGACTTTAGAAATTGCAGAAAACATAAAGAAATCCTTCTGACAGTACTTTATTATTCTTATTATTATTGACTTTGTTTGTTTATATTATTTTTTGATTGCTATATCGGTAAATTGCTAAACCTGCAATAATCATGAAATGCATTTCTCCCAAATTTTCTGCACTGACCTACTGCCAATATTTGTGCCTCTAGGGCTGCTGTACAATAAAGAGTAACTCTCTTTAAATGAACATTCAATGTAAAAAGCTGTTCCCCTTCTCAACATTTAACCTATAAAGTGTAAAATCCAAAAAGTGAAAGCGTTAAATGTCTTCTGTTCACAGTATAATCTTCCAAAATGCTGTGTGCTCAATTGCATACATAAAACAAAGCAAAACAAAAGAAAAAAAAATCATCTATAGGTACAAAGCATCATAGCACCCACAATATTAAAGTGGAAAAGTGCTAAATATTGCATGTAATACAACAGGCTTAAAATGGTCAAATGTATAAGAATATAAGATAGAGAGTTAAACTATAGCAAACAAACGTAAGCTCAAGATATAATTTATGCTGCCTGTTGGTCATGCAGTGTTTTTATCTTACAGTGCTAGTTTGAGGGAACATAAGCTATAACTTGGCAAATTAAAACATGGTAATAGACTTTTTATTTAACCCCATCTAGCTTAAAGTAGTATTATATTATGATATATTTAATTTATATAATTTTATATAATAATTAATATAATTATACATATTTTTCGCCACTTGTAGTCATCATGTTTCCAAACAATTTGCTCCAACTCTCTCAGCTCTGCCTCCCTGAACTTTCTGTCCAGTACAAGATCAAAAGGCATAGCTCAGTTTCCAGCAGCTGTCCATCTGCTAGCTTGGAGAAGGGTGGAGGGAGGAAGGGGTATCAGGGGGCAAGGGAGTCGCTTACCTTGCTGTGTCTGTGTATTTGTGAAGACACACACAGCTTACTATTGCACTTCAGGGTGGCCTTATAGGAACATTGGAAGGGGAACAAGCCGCTCTAAAACAGGATATTTAAGTGTACAATGCCTTTAAATGGCTCCAAATGGTCATAGAAGCTCCTTATTTTTTTTTAAAGTTATTTATTTTTTACAACTTTTACTAAAAGTGTTTCTTCTTAGGGAGATAATTATTTATTGCCTTCACGGCACAGAGCTGATAATACATGACTTTGTTGTTAATTAGGTGTTTTATTGCAAATATAAAATAACCTAAGATTTATCTACCAGGAAAGACAAACCAGTTGGGATAAACATGTATGATAAGGTCAGGTTTGCTCTGCTTCTTTCTCCTGTAGAAAAATGAGTAGTAGAGATATGTTAGCCCCTATGTGATATCAATAAAGTTAAAGGGGAAACAAAAAAATAAAAAAAGTGATTAAAAAACTAAATACAATTAAAAAATACAAAAATGCAAAATAATACAATAAAAATAAAAAAATAAAAAAGTGATGCGGTAGAAAAATTTAAATAAATACAAATTAAAATAAAAACCATCCCCACCCCCACGCAAATAAACACATAGGGCATTGTGCATCCGTCCGTCCGTTTTTTTACTACGGGCGGACGGCAAGAGGTTAAAGGGTAAGTTCAGTTCTCCAAGTAATTTTGGGAAAATGGAATTACCCACTTAACAGTCCTTCCCATTTGCTGGTATGGGTGTACTATCTGTACCTCATACATTTGTCCAGTGTAGCCCTGCACTATGGATTTGGAATTTTACCCAAAAATTGCGAGTACTCATTAGTCAGTGCTGTCAGGTGACTGTGCTGACCAATGAGAAGCGCTTCTTAGCACAGTTAAATACGATTTTGGTTAAAATTTGTTTTTGTATCAGGACAAGTATAATCATGGATTGAGTTACAGTTCTTCATAATGATAAAGAAACTGCCCTAAAAGCATTAGTCTGTTAAGTTTTAGAAAAAATGTCATATGTCCCTTTAAGAAAAAGTATCAGTAATTGGTATTGGCCAGTACCTGAGGTAAAGTACTTGTACTTGGTGTTGAAAAAATGGTATTGGTGCATCCCTAATATACACATATGATAAATTTATGTATGTATGTGGAGTAATTAATTCCTGGAAAATGCATATACCTGCAGAAAATCTGTAAATGTACATTTCAGGAACGAATCCACAGAAATACATAATACAGCTCTCATATGTGTGTGGCTATCCTGCAACATAGCAACCTATGTAGGCTGAGATGTGGCTAGGTTGACTGTCTCTACTGCAATTAAGTAATACAATTAGGCGGGGGGGGGGGGG